GGAAACATGGTGCTGTACCTCTAGATTCCCCCCCCCCTGAAATGATTCCTCCTCACAGCAGAGAAGATTGAAACTTTTGATTCCCAGGTCCCTGAGTATGTTATTTTCTCTTGATATTAATAACTCCACTTTGCATCACACATCTTGGTTTAAAATTGTTTTAGCATCCGTTCATTTAGGTATTTATAGTTAGGATTTCACACTCGGCAGAGGTATGTACCGCAGATTCCTTTTGGCTCGGTGTGCGGGCAGCCGAGAGCTTTCTTTACTTGGCTGTACCACGGCAGAATGGGGAGTAAAGGAGACGAGGGGGGAATGAATAAAAGGTCCTGCCACAGTTTCTCCTGCTCGGAAAGTCAGAGGCCATCCTGCTTCAGTGACAAGGCCCGGTTCCCATGGTTCCTGAGCTCTTCTAACTTCAAAGACCAACTGCAATTTTTAAAGATTTTATTTTAATTATGGGTGGATGCCTAGGTGCCTGTGTAAAGAAATATGCACGGGAATGCAGGTGTCTGCAGAGGCCAGAGGGGCTGGAACCCCTGGAGCTACAGCTAACAGGTAGCTCTGAACCACCAGAAGAGTGCGTGTGGGGAACCGAACTCTGATACTCTGGAAGAACTGCACACACTCTTAAGTGTTGCAGTATCTCACTAGCCCAAAAGATCAATTTCTAACATATCGGAGTGTTCATTTGCTTTCAAGGTGGGATAGCATCTTAAGAAAAGATTTATTTATTTATTTGAGAGAACATGTCTGGCCTGGTGTAACAATAATGCATCAGTGAGGGAAGAAACAGTATGACTTTTGGGAACGTCCATAATTCAAGATTCTCTCTGAATGTCCCACTTTCTGAGCTGGAGTACAGGGTAAGCAGCCCTTTCTCTTCTATTTCTAATAGGCTGGGACAGAGGCTGAACATAGCTGCCTAATTAGTTTAGACTTTTGGCAAACCCCTCCAGTCCTTCTTTGTATTTCAGGCTGGCTTTCCTCCTAGTCTTCTTTGACTTTCTATTACAATATAGCATTTTTCACCATTCCAAGCCTATTGGGAGATAAATGTGCCCGGATTATCCCTTTGCCACTCTACAGAGGGGGCTGGAGAGATGGCTCAACTGTTCAGAACAATGGCTGCTCCTGCAGAGGGCCCAGGTTTGGCTTCCAACACCACAACTGTCACCACAACCCACTTTGAGAAGATCCAAAAACATCTTCTGGCCTCCTTGGGCACCACACACATGTGGCACACTTATGTGCATGCAGGCAAAATACCTGTACACGAAAAAAAGAAAGGAAGGGAGGAAGGAAAAAGAAAGAAGGGAGTGAGGGAAGGGGAAGGGAGGGAAGGAGAGAGGAAGAGAGGTATGCATATATACAAAATATGTATATATGTGTATTTATGCACACATACAATCTCCCTCTGTATCCATATTCTGAATTCATAAATTCAACCAGTCATAGAGCAAGGTTTGAAAAAAATTCTACCTACATAATGATGATTTTATTTAGTTATTTCCCCAGACAAATCTTGCTTGCATGAGCTTGCAAATGATGTTGAGTCACCTAGAGATGATCTGATATTTGATTTAGGGACTGTCTGTGCACAGGCTACATGAAAATATTATAGCATTTTATACAAAGGTATGCATCTGGTCATGTGTAGATTTGGGTATCTTCTGTGATCCTGGAACCAGCTCCTTTCTAGACAGCGCAAAAAATGATTGTATTCACACACTTATCTATGTATGTGTGAGCATCTAACATCCTTTAAATGCTTAGCATAGAATAACACCCTGAATTTAGAAATAACCCATTGCATTGAAAGATTTCGCATCTTTCACTAGAAAATTCGGACATTCTGTCACCCTTTACCTCCTGCTCTAACCTTCACCCCTACACAGGGGAGATAGTGTCAAGGTGATGGGGAATTCCTTTTGTAGGCAACTGAGGTAGCATTCCATTGTCAATCCTGTAACAGCACCAGAAATACCAGTATTAGGCAACAGTCAAAAAATTCAAAAGCCTTTGTGGAAATTGCTGTATTTCCACTTTCAAGGCACCTTTTAAACATTCAGTACAAGATTCTCTTTCAGGGTACTAGTTTGAGCATTAAGAAAATTTATCTTAGTGCGATGTGCAGCCAGAGCCCTTCAGTGTCTCTTTTAAAGGCAGTAGATCCTCTCAACAAAAATAGAATTCAGGGAGTGACAGCAGAACCTCTTGCCTACTGAACCATCTTTACAAACAGTTGTTCTATTTTCAAAAGAATATATTTTTTCAGTCATGTTTAGACATTGTGTAGCGTAAAGGCAAGCACACTGAGATTAATTGTGTTGTAACCATTAGCAAAGCGGGCCTGAGATAAATGGTCTTCTGCTTAGAACATCTCCGACACTGCAAGAAATTTAGTTTCTGTATTGCTCTCTGATAGTCTCAAAAGTTCACTGTATTTATATAAAGATTTTTTTTTGCCTCTCCAAAGCCCAGAATGTTGATATTTTAACGTCATCTTCAAAGACTCCAGTGTGAAAAGAATGCATTTTTAAAGACCTGTTATCTATATCCCAGAGATATTTACCAAAGAAAGGGTATATATATATATACCAGTCTCTGTTAATATACGAGTCTAGATTGTTTAAAAGTCACATCCACAGTTTTCAATCCAAACATCAACAGGATGGCCTAGAACTCCTGACACTCCTGACTATGTCTGTCAAGTGTTGGGATGACAGGTGCACGTCACTGTGGCCAGTTTTATGATGAACTTGTTGAGAGAGCAGCATGAGTCATGAGAACTTGTAATAATGAAGTGTGACTACAAGGGACAAGCGAGTCAGGACATAAACTGTAGAATCGAACAGACTCTCCCAGATGGAGCAGCAGCAGTTAGCACAGAATTACATTGCTCTCCAGCAGATTGCTTTATGAATAAGATTTATCGAATCATAATAGTTCCATAGTATTTTAGAACAATATCTGAGGACAAAGCTTGTGAGGCTTAATTAGAGATTTGGATTTAAATGTTATAAACCTTAGCAGTAAAAGATAATGAGACTAATCCAAATCGGGAAGTAGAGAGGGTCAGAGAGTGAAGATAAATATGTAAGTATATGTCTTAATTTTCCACACTGGAAGGCAAAGGTACTTTCTAAACCAGATAATGTAAGAATACAGAACTATGGGACTTGGGACAGCTGCTCTTTGTAACCCTTACCTTTTGACCTTTCCCCAGAGGCCTCCAAAAATGAGATTGGATAAGACCAATAAGTTACAAGCACACAATTGGAAAGGAGGCAGAGAAAAGACTACCATTTGTAGATAACACATTCCCATAATTGGAGTACCACAGACACTCTTCTGAGAAACGGTTGCAGATCGTGAATGAGCCCCATACGTGAGCAGAACTTGTCAGGAACTGATAGTCTTAATAAATTATAAGGAATGATAACATTTGCAGAAACAGCAGAAGGTAAATTACCAAGAAGAAACTTACACTGAAAATGCAGAAAACTTTCCAGAGGAAAACTTAACATCCATCATCCCTGATGGAACCAAAGTGAGAGGTAAGTGGAAAGACTCCGGAGAATGAAGGTGTCTGTGTGGCCCAAGCTATCTTTCTTACAAAAGGTTTTGGTTTGTGCGTGCGTGTCCCCCCACAAGACATGGGCTTGGACATATTGTCCAGAGCTAGTGGCATTGTGGAACCTTCATGAGGTGTGGCCCAGCTGGCAGGAGTGCTGGGGGACACATCTTGAAGAGTCTATCTGCCCAAGGCAGGGGCCAGAAGAAAAGCTACTTGGTCAGCTGCCACAATGTGACCAAGAGTCTCACTGCTAGATATCAACAACACAGACTGAATCTCTCCTGCCAGCAGATCTTCCTTGTAAGGAATTGCTGAAACCTCTGGAAACTAGGAGCCCATTTACATCTCTCCTCTGCTACCCTGTTCCTTTCAATGTCCCAGTAGCCAGAAGAGAATATGACACGTAACAATGTAGCACGTTCCAAATATAAACACTAGCTAGCAGGATAAAGAAGCACAATCATTCCTATTGGAAATTAAGATGCAGTATGCAATCTCAACAGTAGCAGGATGGGGTAGCTGTTATGAGCACAGACAAAGGAAAGGGGTTTGATGGAGGCCCAATAATTCACATTGGAGCCAATGGGCAGCTCACAGAGAGGGCTCCAGTGTGATGCTTCTCTTTGTGTATGTTCTGTAACGATAAGGTGATTCGTTAGTGTAGCCATCCACTTACATTTTCATCTTCCTCATGAATATACTGGGAACCGTCCCTTCTAGCTCTTTTGAGATGTACAATGAATGCATTGGGGAGATGTTTAAACAAACACTCTGGAGACAATCAAGTAGACAACTGAGTGAGATGAAGGAAGCTCTCTGTCTCTTACTGTGTCTCATATAAACTCCAAAACATAAAGAAGGAAGTGCATGTGTGATCTTTTTATTAAGTCAGAAAAATACTGGCAGAAAACAGTGCTGTCCTTTGGAGTCCTGGAACCCAGGAGCCTTTGCTAACTGTGACTCAGAATCCAGATGCCAAACAGAAGAGGTGGATGTTTCCAAGCTGTAAAATCATTGCTGTTTTTCAAGGCAGGTGCCATAAAAATCACAAGACGGACAACACTCTGGGAGAAACATTTCTAGCTCATTTCACAGAAAATAGGCTAATTTTCCAAGTGCACAGGCCATTTCTAGTCAAAATGGCCAGTCATTTGCAGAAAAGTGGGCAAAGACAGTAACATAAAAGTTCCCAAGACATAACCAGCTTTTAAGCATGAAAAGTTGCTGGGCCTTACTTGTAAAAGAAGAAAAAAAATGCAAATTGCTCTGTGGTGTCGGTTTTAATCTGGTAGTTTAGCCAAACCTATAAATCCACAGTAAATCCATAACAAGACAGAGCCAATTCATTGCCAGAGAAGACTATTAATTTCATGTCTCCTAAGGAAAGCAGTTTGCCAATATTTACCAAAATTAAAAGCATGTTTACCTCAGCAGTTCATCTACTAAAATCAGAATGATACAGAAAAGATTAGCATAGCCACTGTGCATGGAAGCCATGCAAATTGGTACATTGTCCAGCATTTGGAAAAATGCATTTGCCTGCTGACCTAGTTGTTTATTTTTAGGATTCTATGATACATGCATCTCATACTTGCACATGCATTAGCAGATTTTTATTATGACTTTTCTACTATAGAAAAAGATTACATCCAACATTGTTCTTAGCTTCAATAAATTATCACACAGCCACTCAGTGGAATATTATACAGCTATAGTAAAAGAAAGAAAGGGAAAAGAAAGAAGAGGCCTTTTGTATACTAATGTGGAACAACCTAGAAATAATTAATATATATGAATCTATTATGGCAGTCTGGTATAAAGGGAAGAGATATCTTCAGTTTAGTTTTGCTCTATCTGCACGAAGAAGAACCTCTCTACGAGACAAAAATGCTCACAAATGATTACCTGTACACAAAAGCCTGATTAACAAATAAAGAACTAATAAAATTGACTACCAGTATTCCTCTAAAATGAAAGAAATTATATCTGGGCATATACTCAAAAGAATAGAAAGCAAGAACTCAAATGAATTTGTCTACCCTGATGTTCATAGCATTATGAACAATAACCCAAAGATGAACAATGCTCACCAGATAAATATGACTAAATATTTGAATATATAACACACAATAACACAAATATAATGTGTTAGTCACATACATACATACATACACATATACATCATTTAGCCCTAAAAAGTAAGGAACTTCTGGTACATATGAACATCTTGAATACATTTTTAAAAGCATTACGCTAAGTGAAACAAGCAACACACAAAAGGCAAATTCTACAGGATTCCATTTGTATAATGTGTTAGACTGCTTTATCCAGAAGTACAGAAGTGATATAATGAATACATACAAAGGGGTTTGTTTACTCAGTTGGTTTACACATTGGCTGTGTAATCCACCATTACCTACCTGGCCGCTCCCTGTAAAAGCTGACAGAAAACTCAGTAGCTCTTTGGTCCTCAAGGCTGTACAACTCAGCAGTCCCAATCTGGCACAAAAGATCTGAAGAGTCTTGGAGAGCTGTTGGTCTTTAATCAGTGTTTGAAGACCAGAGAAGCTGGATTCTGATGGCTTAAAGGACAACAGCATTGACAGAAGATGTGTTGTTACCATCCAGAAGTGAAGGCAGACCGGCAAGTCATCCCTATTTGTCCTCAGATCCCCTATCACTAAGCCACACCCAGAAGATGCATCAAGCAGTAACTCCACAAATCCAGGTGGAAGTGTGTATCTTAGTTGTTTCCAGACCCAATCAAGCAAATACCCAAGGCTATCCATTACATCCAAGGAATCTAGAATAATCAAATCCATAGAGATGGGAAATAAGATGGAAAGAACTGGAGGCTGATAAGGAGGTGGATGCTCTAAGAGCCTCTGTCTGAGAAGACAGGGTGATTCCTCAGGTGGGGTAGGGTGCTGGCTGTACAGCTGTGGATGGTGTGCTTAAAATGATTCAAACGAACTATGGCCTTGGCAGTTATTTTCCCATCACCAAGAGAGAGGAAGAGAAAAAAAATAAACTACCCCTTTTATTCAGAAGTTTATAGTTTATGGAGGTGGATGGCATAAAAATGTATACATCTCCACACTCGAAAAAAAATTGAAAGAAAAAAACTTAAGAAGATGCGTGTAAGGGTACAGTTTTTCTGCCCACCGCCGCTGGTCTTGTCCCGCCGCCACGCCAGCCCCAAATAACACTGAGACTCTGTATTAGGTATAATTCTGTTGGCCCGGTTACTTGTTTCTTATCGGCTAGCTCTGCCTTAATTATTAACCCATTTCTATGTATTTCCACGTGGTCTCCTTACCGGGGAGTGAGGCAGGCGTCTGGTCACCCAGGTCTCTCCATCTTGACTCCTCCTTACTACTTCCTCTTTCCTCCTTGTCTCCTAGTCCCTCCTATCTTCCTTTCCTATTGGCCAACAGTGCTTTATTTATTAACCAGTATGAGAAACATATACAGAATGACATCTCCCATCAGATGCGTATTAAACCTTATTCTATATATTTAATTTAGCATTTTAAAATATTTATTTATTATGTATACAGTGGTCTACTTGAATGTATACCTGAATGCCAGAAGAAGACACTAGGTCCCATCATAGATGGTTGTGAACTACCATGTGGTTGCTGGGAATTGAAGTCAGGACCTCTGGAAGAGCAGCCCGTTTTCTTAACCTTTAAGCCATTTCTCCATCCCCTTAATGCAGCATTTTTGTGTTTAAATTGACAATTCAGTTATCTTTGAAGTAAATTATGAAATCAAGACACCTGTAAAAAAAAAAAAAGGTTCAAATGATTGCTGGGTAGTCCCCGCTGACCTTGAATTCAGGATTCTCCTGTTCAGCCTCCTGAGTGCTGCTGAGGTTACCACCAGTATGCCCAGCTGCTATATTTGTCATAATACCAAAAGAAACTGGCTGGCGAGAAAGGCATGAGTGTAAGTAGAGGATGCAGAGCTGGGAGAGTCACCACTCAACATATGTCTCTTGAACTATGTAAATATATTATGTAATTACCCAACAAGTCATTTCTGAAGAGCCATCTGGACTTCTTCTTGGATCATTTCTGCAATGTGATTTTTTTCTCTATGCAAATATTAACTTTTTTTTTGTTCCAGTGTCTTAAAAGCACCTACATCATTGTAAGACAAAAGAGATAAACTTCCACACACCAGAATATTAAGCAGCCAGGGTTAAGTGAGACATAAAGCTGTGATTCCTTCCTGTCTATCGTGGAATAATAAGGACTGGGAAAAACAGATAGACAGAATAGATGTTTATTCAGAGAGAAATAACTTACAACAGAGACAGATGAACGCCAGCAGGTTCCTGGCCCCAAGGATGCCTCCAGATGCCCTCTGTCCCCATCCAGCAAGCAAGAGAATGCTCTGGAGCCCCTGCCCCAGACCTAGTTCCCCCAGGTCACATCTGCCCCTGTCCCCATAACTAATGGGTGTGGTCAGTGCAACAGGTGCAGACAGAGTGAATATCTCACTACACCCATCAGTCTAGGGAGGTGCTGGTCAAGGCATCGGAGATGCTGTCTCCCCTCTCCCCCCCCCCCACCTCTGAGGAGCTGGTTAGTCCCTGGACTGCACTTGCCTGCAGATTCTGCCTCCTATGCCAGAAAAGGGAGACAGGCCAGTTCTGACTGCTTCACTCTACCAGACGAGCACTCTGCTCATGCTTGGTGTTTAGTTTTTTGGTGATTCGGTTTGGTCTTTTGAAACAGGGTCTTCCTATATGGTCTTAAACGTATGGTAATCCTCTGCTTCCGCCTCTAGATTTCGGGGGTTACAGGTGTGTGGGTATCACATCCTGCTTTCCATCAATCAGCCTTTGAAACATCTCCTCCCCGTTCATCTGGCTCCCTTTTACCTGCAGGAATCGCCCCTGGTAGGGGAGCTTCAGGAAGAAAATAACTTCAGCTATGTCCCACACAGTCTCTGTCTGCAGCTGCCTGGCTTCCTCTCGAATGACTCTACTACGAGAGACAACCACCACTCAAGTGCCTGGTCCCAGTGTCACTGAAACCCTCCCTTATGTTGCTCAGAGACTTCTACTCATCCATCCTCTTTTGTTTTCTAGAAACAGAAGAAGGAAACAAAATTCCTCTTCAGTATGAGGAGGCTTCATATACTGTGTCTGCTTAGTATGTGGGAGGTTCTGTGTTCCACAAAGAACCAAAGTAAGACACAAACTCTAGTTTCCATCTTCCAGGGATTCTCTTTCAGGCTTTCCCATCTTCTCCTGGTGAACCCAGCTCTCAGATAAGCTTGGCAACCCCACCCTCAGCACTCCTCTGGTCCCACAGTCTTCCAGCCTAAGGAGTAAGTCTCTTCCCTCCCTGTTGAATTTAGACAGTCTACTGTACATAGTAATTATTTTTAACTTGTTTGTTTGTTTGTCTGAGGCAGAATCTCTGTGTACAGATTTGGCTGGTCTGGAATTTACTATGTAGGAAAGGCTGCCCCCAAATGTGTAGCAATCCTCTTGTCCCAGCCTTGGGTTGGCAGTACTGGGATGACAGGTGGGTATCAACACGCCTGGCTCAGCCCACATCTGGACTACAGCTTTCGAACACGCCCAGAGCATCATCATCAAAGAAGTTGGAGGTGGAGACTTCCTGACACAGAGACTCCAATAAAAAGCCTGGGCATTTCATTTGGGGGCAATTTCATATGGAATATTAAGAAATGTGTGCTGAGGATGGGCAAATTGTAGACAACAATAGAGTCACACATGGCTCCCATGACTCATAAGTTGTTCAGCCCATTGGGACTGTGCAATTCCGTGATCTGCCTTGCTCTTCCTCCCCCTTAGATGGAGAGACATGCCCCTGGTTCTTTCATTAGCACTGTATTCTCCTGCCTCATAGAAAGAAGTGTCATGGAATGCGTCTATCCCAGGCATGGTATCCATGGTCTAATGTTACCACTTTAGACTATGAAATTACCATTTTTACCTTTCATGCCGCCTTCAATTTTTTCCATATACAATATATATATATACATATATATATATATATATATATATATTAAATTAAGAACTTGAAGTGTTTTTCTGAAAAGCATAGACCTGTGTTGGTATCTAAGATGTGAAGAATGACATTTGTATAAAAGATAGAGTGGCATTGTTTTCTGTGTTATTATGAAAAATAAGTTAGTATTAAGATAATTTTTAAAATAATCAACAAGAAGCAAAGTAAACAGCTAGGAGAAATGATAGCTTTGTATAGGTAATGACAGGGTTGATTTTGAACATTGTATGTATGTCCCCATTCGTTCCCTTCAATCATTTATTCTTCTGTCTTCGCTCCCTTTTCCTTGTCTTTCCTTGCCTTCCTCCCTCTCCTTTCCACCCTTTTTCTTCTCTCTGTTTGCACTGTTTTTGCTGAGAGAGGATCTCACTGTATAAGCCAGTCTGGACTCAAACACGCAGTTTTCTTGCCTCGGCCTCCCATGTGCTGGGATTGCAGGCATGCATCATATTTCCTGACGCGATTGGAACCC